TTCGTGAAATTCTAATGAGTGGTTCTCAAGGAATAGGCGTATTTCCGAGAGTGCAATTTTTCATTCAATCGCAATTTTTTGACTTACTATGCATGCGCTGCATTTAACTGGGTTCTTTTGGTAACAAAGAAAAAGCTGAGAATTGCTGGGTTCTTTGCATCATTACCTCTTCTAACATATCTTTGTAATAAAAGACTAAAGCCATCAATACACTGCGTTTAATTATAGAGAAAAATAGCACAGATATTGCGGGTGTTCAGTAAATAAAATGATCACTCTATTGACAGCATGCTTGTTTTTCGCAATCTTTGTGTGCGCCCTGAATTGCATCAGCAAAAGCGCACGTGAAAACTGTGTTCAGCCACCGTTAAATTATCAATTGATATGAGGTGACATGCAGTTGTCAATAAACGTGATGATTTCAAAAGGGTAATAATAATGAGCTATTATTGGACAATATATCAGAACCTGTTTAAAGTGGACACCCTTTATTAAGCACACACTAATGAGGTGTCTGCTTAATACAGGTTTTACTGTAATTACTTTTTACCAAAGTTCCGCAAAGTTTTCAAATGATTTTGCTCAAGAATTTCTTTTCAAGGTGACTTAAGCAGCCTCAATAACTTCAAAAATGAAACATACAAGTAGAGAGTGCGAAAGAGAAAGCTAGGGAGTTTGGAATAAATTGCTTTGAGCCCAAATTGTGTTGCTTCGCGAGGTCGGCCACACTTGGACCACACTCAGGAACGCATTATTACAGAAATTATTGTTAGTGTTCAGTGTGATTGTTTGGCTATGAAATTAATGGTCATAATACTGTAGTCTTGAAAATCGTGTGCGGATGTAGGAGTCCACAGCAGAATACTAATTGTGCAATACTGTGAAAAAAATCATGTCATATTTTCATTAATTGAAAAACTGATTTTGTTTCAGTCATGACTTATTTTACAAGTGGAGGTCATCTACAGCCCATAAAAGTAATAAAATCGTACAAGTTAACTGACAAATCTCCTTTTTCACTGTTTACTGACTAAATCCATTTTTTTTTAAACAGTTTACTGACTAAATGGTTTTTTTTTTTTTTTTTTTTTTTACTGTTTACTGACTAGAGCTATACCCCATTGACACACTCATGTAGTTCATAGAGAATTTAACAAAAATTTTCACCAGTCCTCATCACTGGTTCCCTTCATTTGAGGAATTGCCAGCTGGGAGAATCTTTTGTCCAGATGATTCAATTTTATCTGGCTCCCTGGTGGGATATAGGGCCAAAAAAATATCATTGATCATGCATTATTTGCTCAATTCTCTTGACACCTGACAAGTACAGTAGACTCCTTGTTGTATCACTCACTCATTCACTCACTCAATCAATCAATCAATCAATCAACCAACCAACCAACCAACCAACTAACCAATCAATCAGTCAATCAATCAATTTATTAATGTCATGCTTTAGAAGAGGTTGCCCTCAGTATCTGAGCTAGGGGCTCATGTATAAATTGCACGACAACAATAACAAAATATAAATGAGCATTAAATAAAATGGACATTTTAGTAAATAAAATTGTAATAGTAAAATTTGAAATATGAAATGATATAAAGTTATATACATAATGGTCAATGGTAGCAAGTTTTCAATTCATCGTTTTATTGCGACAATGCTCTTTTGTATGGACAAACTGATAAAGAATGACCACACTCATCAGGCAATATCAATGAATGACCGTTAAATTACAAGAACTGGCAATTAAAAGCTAAGGTTGCTATGAGATGCAAAAACAGATGCGAGAGTTGCTATGGAGTGTAAAACAAATAATGTGTAACAAAAAGATTGCAATACTTGATCACAAAGTTCTTGAGTAGGTATCTGTTTCTGTGGGGGCATGAACTTGCTAATTCGTTTCACCTGTTTAGGCTTCACAAATTCTTCTTACAGATGATTGCAAACTTCTCAAAACTACATAAATTACATTTGTTGCTAATGTTGTTATAAGGTCTGCACTTCTTAATGATTCTCCACTTGATGGTAAAAGGTTTGTTGTTATCTTTGAGTAACCAAATGTGTTTAGACAGTTCAGTTTCGTTTCTTTTGCTTTGGTGTCAAAAGGATGCTGTGTGGTTTCTGTAGCGCTTGTTAAAATTTGTGGCATGGTATATCCGTCCGTCCGTCCATCCATCCATCCATACCCAGGAATGTGCCTAAAACCTTTACTAGGAATTCCCAAAGCTTGCAATGTTGCATTCCACTTTCAAAAACATTGTGACAGATGATTTCATTGCACTTCATCTAAAGAGAAGTTTGACTTACAAGTGGGAAGAAGCATTAACTACATAGCACATGTACATGGACATGTAAATAGTATAACAATACATGTACATGTTGTAAAAGTTTAAAACTAAATACAGAATACTAGTAAATATTTGAAAATTTGTTCCAATTTGACAGCTTTGAAATTAAGGATTGATGTGGAAACCATGACACCTACAGAACACAACACACAGGATTTTTCAACAGTAGAATTGGGAGGGTCTCAAAATGGTGGGCACCAGGAGGCATCTGTGGCACCTGTGTCATCAGGCCCTACCCAGCCTTCATGTACAGGTGCTGAAGCTCCCCAAGCACCAATAAGTCCCATTCCTACAGAAGAAGAGGTCTTACGTTTACTTGCTTCAAACTACATGCAGACTACACCTCCAAGTTGCAAGGCTGATCGTGATGAGTTTTTGACGTACCTGAAAGAAATGCGAGTTGTTATCACAGGTGTTAAGTTAGGAAGTTTGCTGATAACCATGAAGTGTGATTCACTTGAGATCCTGGAGATATTGTGGGAAGATTATTCATCTGGTCATCTTGGTGAAGTTGTTCAAAGATGTTTTGTTACAGAAGAGATCTTGAAAAAACTGAGCCTTGCAGAGTTGAATCTACAAACAACAATCTCAGAGGAGGAGTATATGGCATGCAAGATGTACTTTGAGAAAGATCCAGCAGAAGGTAAATAGTTTTAAAAATGTTTTAGTTAAATTACTCAGGAATGCACAATGTCAGGAGAAGACTCAGGCTCCTCCGACCATTAAGATAAAAAAAAAAATCGGTTAAGAGGGAAAAACAAACTTCATATTCTACATGTGCCTAGTTTCTTGGTTCAAATAAAGCAACAATAATAGGCATTATATCTCAAAATACCACATGTTACATGGACATGTACATGTAGCATAACAAATGCAGAACTTTGTTAAATAAGCAAATCTTTGCTGACGTCATTGCTTACATTTTTTTCTCATTAACATATGACTTTGCATCACACTAGACATGAATTGACTACAAGCATTTAAAGAGCTTGTGAAACTCAGTAATTGGTGAAAGTTTTGGCTCTTTGGATGTAATATTCAAGGAGAAATTGGCTTTCAAAAACTGTTAAATTTCTGGGTGGCAATAGCACTAATGAGCTCATACATTTGTAAAATTTTGAGTTTTTAAACCTGTGCCGCACAAAAGGTATTCAATGCATCAGTCTCCAATTCCTTGGCACAGGTAATCATGCTATGCTCTTTCAATATTCAGAACCAATGGTTTTGTAGCTCCATCAGAAACTGAATCGCTTTTGCTAATGACGCAAATATTGTAAACAAAGATTCTTCTGTAAGTCAGAGTACATGTGTATTCATGTACATTGATTACTTCATAGAGAACTAAACAGTCTGTCTTTATTTTTAAAGATCCATGTGAAAGTGTAGCTGAACCTGTTGAAGATGATGATGATGTTGATGATGATGATGATGATGATGAT